CCATCTTATTATCTGATATATATATATTTTCTTATTACTTATTCTTATTGTTTTATCTCTTAATCTTATATATGACAGCTGCAATGCCAGCCGCTATGCCAACCTGCACAACCCCGGCCCCAAAACAGCAGCAAGACCTACTGTATAATGGGCCCATATTGCTGCCATGAGTGAGGCCAAAGGCCAAGCCAACACAATATGCCATGGGTACAGTATGAGAGAGGGGAATGTCACAATACAGCCAAACCAGACGTTGCACTGCCAAAATATAGTATTCACAGAGAACTACAGAAAAACACCACGCAATACTGTATAATCAAATCGTTTGTGTAATCTTTTAAGATCACGGGCCCAGCTAGTTATTTTTATATATTCTTTAACTTTGTTTTTCTGTTAGTCGAATATGCTACACTGATGAGAGAAATCAAGGAAAGTGGGAATATGGGAAATCAGAGAATAAAGAATAAAGGAAATCATTTTTTAGTGGCATTGGAAAAGAATCATCGCAGCGATTCACCAGTGGAGTAATTTTAGCATAAGTTTTTTTCATGGTCAACTGACAGGCATGTCTTCTAATTCATCTTTCCAATCAGATTTTTCTGGTAGTTGATCATGAATTCAAGGTCATCTTGTTTTTTATCTTGAATTACTTCCCTTGGCTTTCCCTTCAACTTTGGCAGCAGTTCCAGCAACGAGTCTGAATCTGAGCCCACAGTTTGGCAATACTTTCTTTTGGTAGCCGCATTGAAAACCAATGCACACTCGATCAGATTTTTTGCCTTGAATGACCCAGATACACCAAATAACGCAGCATCAGCCTTCATTAGTATTTTCTTGTTGTTGTAGCAAATGATGTCCACCACATTTGAGACATCCTTATCGCACTCAACTTGATTTTCTGTGATGTCCATGGCAATGTGATATAACTGTCAAATTGTTTGATTTTCAGCAAAGGGATAACCATATAACGTTGGAGAGGCTTCGGTCAGGAATGAGGACAAAGCCTGCAGGGGTGTAAGTTGATCAGAAGATGCAATACTCGATAAAGTCAGTTTCGACACAATGAAGCAGCTTTGTGCCCAGAAATCAGTGGGCAGGAGCAAAGACATCCAAAGTTTTTCAGAAATAGGTTTGAACTTTGCCATAAGTTGGATAGGAGAGACGCGATTGGTGCAAACAATTAAAACGATAGAATATGTTTTGTAGATGCTCAAAGCGCTTTGTGAATAGCTGACAAGGCGTTGCATAAAGGGTTTATTGATGGTGATTGAATTTCGATGAGGATTGGAGGAAGCGAGTTTTGGATTGCTAACCAAGGCTTATAAAGTATATCACTTCGCAATGTGTTCTGCCATTCTGTTTTTGCTGACATATATGTTCTGTCTGGAACGTCCAATAATTTGCCGACCACAAGGTCAATCATGCCTTGAGTTTTTAATATTTGCTTGCTGAATTGGTCTTTTCCTGGCAATTGATTGTTGGGCAATCAAAATGTGAGAATCTCATCAGACACTACAAAACACAACCAGTTAAACAAAAGGAAGGAAGAAAAAACAAAAATAAAGGAGTATAACAAATATCCTTACTTATCATCATTATTGTCATGGCACAAAACTGTTGCTGATAAACAATGATAAAGAAATTGCCAGTTGTGGGGGGATTTACTACACAAAAGTGGAATTATAAAATGGTAAAACACACTCATATGCCTCAACAGATGGTTTCAGTTCAGGAAATGATTTCAGGAACAGGACCATAATCCAAACCTTGTCATACATTTCTGTTTCATATGGAAACATAGCACGGATAGCATGGATAGCATGGATAACACGAATACCACATTTGTTGGGACTTTGGCTTACTAATTATGGGATGAACAAGCTTGTCAACATGCCATTCCATCAGCAAAAGGTTATATATAGTGATCATGGGCCGATTTAGAAAGCCTATAGTAAATGGTGCCAAATTTAACTTGGTGCTATATTCACGGCGCAACCGCAATCCTTTGGTGGAAATTCTGGACGAGTTTTTTTTTCGCTAATTATTCAGGCCAGACACTTTTCCTCTCGGGCACGACGTTTCTCTGGAGCACTACGTTTATTGAATCTCCGCCTTTCACCATTTACCGGCCTCATAAAAAGTGACTTGTTGTCCAGCATCCAGCAATTTTATCTGGTCCCTAACCACCCAAAGTAGTTTATATGAGTAAAATCAATCTATCAAAATATAAATAATTTAATTCATGAATAAGGTACATCTTCATTTAATATAACGGAATTTCTAGGTGTACTTAAGTAGTAACCATATTAAAATTTCTATTTTTTTTATGCAGTATATACAAAATATACAATTTGTAAACGTCGTGTCCCAAACGTGACTGTGTAAGAAACGTCATGCTCGAGAGGCATAACGTCGTGTCCTAAATGTGGCGATAGAATAATTGTGTTCAAGAAAACTGTTGATGCAATATTTTACTTATTGAAAGTAAAGCTTCTATAAGTATAATTATAAAGGTTTCTAGAATTTTACTTTACATTTTAAAGAGTTCATACTCAATGCAATGTCTTTTTTATTATAGTTCTCATGCAATAAACGCACAATATAAAATAAATAAATAAAAATTGTGACCACACCTATTTCTGTAAAAACACAAGATCTATTTGGTTCCCGTCAACAAATCATATACCTGCTGTTGCTGATGAGTCATTTTTTCACGATTTAACTTGAGACATAAATCATATATTTTCATTTTATGTGATTTAAGTGGAAAAGATTATAATCCATATAATTTGCATTTTTTTCAAAAACTTTCGTAATAGATATAAAGGTAATGAAGCCTTTTATGCCTAAGAAAGTTTGCATAGCAGTAAAGCTAATATATTTTTACAAAATTCATGTTTTTACTTTTTATTTTTTATTTTTATTTCTTCTGTAAAAACTCTTTCTATCATTTCCTCACAACATGTACATGAGATATTTTATCAAAAATACAAAAAATGAAAAATATTCATATAAGACCAAAAAAAGTTTTTAATTACATATATTCAGATAACATATGAATCCAGTAAAAGTTTCATAGAAAACAAATGAGAAAAAAGTGATTCTACAAGCAAATACAATATTTTATTTTATTGAAAAAAAGCAAATTTTTGAGATATTATGTTAGTTTTCTCATGATCGACCCTTTCAATTCAACTAAAAATCCTAGAACACATACATATATCTATAAACTACTTGGATCCAAAGTTATAGAGAGCCAAGTCTTGAATTGATGAAATAAATAGATGCAAATGCATAATATAACATATTCGAAGATAGTTTGGCTCGATCTGTGTAACACCATCCGATATTTATGATTTTTAATTCGCTGGTTATAAGTGTAACTCGAAGGGTAAAGTACTTCCCACGAATGATCTCTAGGAAAAAACAGAGCGGAAAGTCATTTAACCCACAAGTGATAGATAGCTTATGTTGATGCAAAGAAACAAATTGATAAGATTTATAAAGATTTAAAAAAATTGTCTAGCTAATAAAATATAAGTAATAAAGTATAATTAAAAGAGTAATAAAATAGAAAAGAATATCGAAAAGAAATTATTTTGGAGTAAGATCAATTGGTTGATCTAGATCAGAATGGAGAGAGAGCATGGCATTTCGGCGATCATGCTTGTTAAATTCTTTGAACTTATTCCAGTAAGTATCAAAGTTATCATCAATCTTATTTCTGGCACAACCTAAAAAAAATAATTCAGAAACGGTTGGCTATTTTCTAGAGATATTACGGGAAAGGTCAACTGTTGTCCAGTGATTACTGTTAACATGATTAAAAATCAGAGGTTGTCGTTGTTTGGTTTTGTTGTTGGGAAGGGCGAATGGGAGAAAGGTTGTTGAGGGGGTGTTGGGGTTGTCTGAGTAGATGCAGACTGGTCGTGTATATGTGTCCGCAGCTAGTTGAGCACAGTCGGGTGTATTAAACCACATACTGGCATCTGAACATACTGGGATGAAGTTGGTGTTGGTGTTGCTGGTGTTGCTATAATCGAGTTGAGAGCCATGTTGAATGATTTTTTCTAGTTGGCTTGTGTCAGTGCCAAAGGTATTTGTGTACAATGTTTTGTATTTCGGCAGGGCGGCTAGCATATCCCTTTTTACAAGTGAAAACTTATTCTGATCTTTGTAGATCAAGTGGGCAAGGACCCGAAAACCACACCACCCGTCAGCAGTAGGGCTAAACCCACCCTTGACATCATCGACTATCTCATGAGAGACAGGAAAACCGGGCTGGAATTTGACCCTCTTGCCAACAGAGGTGCGATTATCATACTGGTAATCTTCTAGGGTGGTGGCAGGTCTTTTGAACCCATTTTTTTGGGGGGCATCGACTAAAAAGTATATAAGTATAAGACGATAGTTCTCTTTATGGATTCAATTACATTGTAAAATAAGAACACATCTTACCTGGGTCGAGAGGCTCTTGTTTGTTTTTGTTTTGTTTTTGTGTAGCTGCAGGCTTTCCCTCCCTCATTTTAGCTCTCAGTCTAACCATTGCCTTAAGGCCAGCCTAGTATTTCAAGATACATATTAATACTTTGTTATGTTATTTTTTTTTATCTTACATGACCAGACGAAACACTGATCTTTCTCCAGTTTGCCCGACCAAAGTCTTTGGGGAGGTACTTTGGACGTGCACTACCCTTCCGTCTGCCAGGGTACTTGATTTTTTCTAGGACTTGAAAGTTAATCGAAGGGTGCCCAGTTTTGCCTTCGAATTCAGAAGTGACCTTCTTGATCTTATTCAGGAGGTTAGCCACTTGCTGGCTGCCCTCACAGGACCAAAACAGTGACTCGAGTTTAATTACTTCCTCCATCCACACCTCTGGTCTTTCCTCAAGCTGGGAGTTTTCCTGACAAGTGTTGTCCCTTGGCTTTACATTACGAGGATCAATAACCCACCTTTCAGGGATATCAGAAATATAGATATCCCTTCCAGCAGGCAAAGAATGGTGACAAGGTAGACCATACTGGAGCTTGTTCATGCATTCACAAACAATACTGCTTTCACATTTCAGTCGAACCTCTTGGTCTATTACCAGTAAAGCTCGCTTTGAGACCTTCATGAGCAGTCTAGACAAAAGCTTGTTTCGTCCAACAAGAGGGTCAACCGTGGTAGATTCCCTGATCTCCACATTCCGGAAGTCTCTCTCAAGCCTCTTGATATATATTGAAATATTTTCAAAGGCGAGATCCAGAGAAGCTATTGCAGATATACCTCTCTTTAAGGCTTGATGGGCACTTTCCACTCTTTGAGATGTTGTGCATCCAAAATGCATTATCTTCTGAGTAAGATAACCTGCCCACTTCTCTTGGCATGTAATCCACCTGTCATGAAAATATGCCGAGACTGGCGCTTTCACATTGCCATTTTCTACTTCGGAACCAGCAAATACAGCGTTGAACTTATTCAGCGCCCAGTCAAACTCCTTCTTACTTTTGCCATGGATCATATTGGATATATATCCCGTCAGCTCTTCCTTTTTTTGTATTGAGCCAACTTTTCCCGAAAAAGTCTTTTCCACACTATTCAGCATGTGCCAGTAACAAAGCAGCTTGCTGTTGTTCGGAAACACAACATCAAGAGCATTCATAAGTGCAGCACACTTGTCTGTCACAAAAACTGTGCTAAGAGCCTTGTCTTCAAAAACAAGTGCCTTGAGTTGCTGGAGGAACCAAAGATATGTGCCTTGCTGCTCGTTAGAGACCCAGGCAAAGGCAATGGGAAACGATTTGAGGGTTTCTCCTCCGAGGTTGTGGATACCTTCCATGCAAATCAGCGGAATTGACAAGTTATTGGTAGAATATGTAGCATCTACCACCATAACTTCTGAGAAGCGACGAGCTCTCTCCATCATCTTCTGATTGGTAAAAAATACCCTCTCCAGCAAATTGTCCCCGTTTACATCATAATGCACCTGGTAACATTTTGCTTCCATCATCTTAACAAGTCCAGTACCTGCATTCTGGGCAACAGGGGCAGAAACTCGAGCAAAGGCAGCCTTGATATTGTTGATATCGCTAACGTACAGCTTATGACCATCGTCTTTTTTGTCTGTGATAGCCCTTTGGATCTCACAAGTCTTGGCCTTTGTCTCAACAAGTTTAGATATCTGCTTGGCGTCTTCGGCAGTAACTCTCGACAATCTGCCTTTCAGAGTCGATTCCAAGCATTTGTCATCAAGAGGATGATTGTGATAACTCTCCATTTCACTAGAAGCTTTCAAGGGAAGATATCCTTTGATTCCTTTCTTGTAAGATAGCTTTATCATGTAAGGACATCCGGTTTTCGAACTAGGGCGGATTTTTACGCGATCACAGTCTTCAAGTTTATGGGTGTTTCTATAGTGACCACCCCTGGCGCACTTTAAGTAAACCCGGGTTGGTTTACGGTCTTTAGTTGCAAGAGTGAAGTTGTTAGCAAGTGCATACTCCTGCATCTTAGAAATAGCCACAGTCATGTTGGCATAGCCATTGACTGGTGTAGTGGGAAAGTCTTGTTGAACGGGATAATATTCATTTCCGTCAATAAAAATTGATTCTTTATTGATAGTATTCATGTTGAAGTGATTTCTATTGAGCGATTGTTAACATCGTTTTTACAAATACTAATTTGTAATGATAGAAGTAGCACTCTTGTTTCTTCTGATAAAAACACTATATTATGTAAAAGATGTCTAATTCTTACAAGATGAGTATATAAAAGAAAAGAAGGTTTTATAACGGGTCTTTCACTAATTTCTTCAGGACACAACTTTTTTTTGCTTTCAGGTACTCTGTTACCATTGAAGGCCGGACCATAGTCACTTTTCAGGAGTCCGGTACACAATTAAAATCGGTGTTTAGAATATTTTTAGTACTCTATAGAAACATCGTGCCCAAGAGGAAAAGCATCGGGCCCAAATAATAGCTGTTTTTTTTTGTTTTTTTTGTTTAGTTTTTTTTTACTGCATTGACCATGAATAAGATCTTCAGCGCGCTTGCCTATTATGGCACTTGTCCAAGCATTTGTGAGAATGCCCAACGAACCCTTTCAAATTGCTCAGCGTCAAACTATTAGATGTCTCACTATTCTTGTCATAAGTGTCTTAGTTTTCAGTAGCTTGTTTCGTTTGACTTTACTCTTAATCACTGACCAAAACTGTTCAATTAGACTAAATTCAGAAGAATAGAACAGCAAATAGACATAGTGGCAACCGCAAGATTCTACATATTTAGCTATATCAACTAATGTATGGATTGGAGCATTATCCATCACGAGGTAATGGCCTTTTATATGTGGATACTAGTCCATTTCATCTATCGTGGCTTTTAGAAAACTAACATAGTGTCCCATAACTGTCCCTTTGTTCACATGCCTAATGTCTTCTTCTCGCTTTCTCTTTTTATTGGACAGAGGCTAAGGAAGTCTGAGACTATATTTAATCAGACCTTGGACAGAAATTGAACCTAAAATGGTTGTTGTTTTTGCTCGTGTTTTGGGGACTGTGACCACTGCAGGAGAGTCTTTCTTTGACCATGTTGTAAATGAGTATTGACTACTGCTGTAATTGAGAATAAATCTGAAGGAAATAATATAAGGCGTCAGCTATTCTAGTTAAAGGTGTCTACCAATTACTTTATTATTTAACACACAGGTTTAGCATGCATGATAGTGACTATATTTCATATGATGATATCACCATAATATGGGATACATCAGTGGATTATTATAAGCATAATTATAACTCATAAACACATTTACTTTCGATGTTAATACTTCATTGGGACTACACACATTTATATAATTAATTATACATTAATTATCCCAAGATCATGTTGCTCTGATTAAGGCTCAGATAGGATCGATTACCTGACCCCAGTCATATAATTTTCCCGATCCAAAATAATATAAATAGCAGTAGTAGTTCAATGTAGGAACCTGGTCAAACTTTGATACAAAATCCTTTCTCAATAAACAAAACCTACACAAGTTCTCACAAATCTTCGTTCCTAATCTCAAATCTTCAATTCTTCCTCTTAAAAACTTCTTCAACTTCAACCACCACAACAGAGTGCATAAAATACTCTCTCTTTTCATCATTCTGTCTGCATCAATATCCGTAGTCTTTTCATATAAAATAGCTTCATATTCTCGTCAATAAACATCATCTTTCACAAGCTCAACTCTTCTGCCTCTTACTTCTTCTACTCCGTTTCCTAAAACGGATATTATCACATCTTAAAGACCGCTGTTCATTACACTTTTTTTTTCCAAATTTGGCAGGTTGTTTCAAATAATCATAGATTTTTTTCTACAGTGAATTATACGGTTGCGGAGTTATAATGTCTGCCATTTACTACAGTGTGAGACTACATTTAATCAGACCTTGGGCAGAAATTGAACCTAAAATGGTTGTTGTTTTTGCTCGTGTTTTGGGAACTGTGACCACTGCAGGAGAGCCTTTCTTTGACCATGCCATACTACATTTCAAATTAATATGAAATGCAGATTCATCAAGGAAGACGCAGTTGGTCATAAAATCTGTGTCTGTTTTTTCCCATTTATGAATCCAATCCAGGCGTTCTTGGATCTTTTCCTTGCTGTTCCAATCTACAGGTTGAAAACGAGCTTTTTTGAGAGACAAGATGCAGTGCTTTTTTACAAAATCAAACAAGATACTTTTGAATACTTTTAATTCTGTGAGTACTTGTTATAAGTGCTTCATCAGATCGCCCAAGATGACTGGAGGGCTCGCATCAATATACTCAAGAATAACTTTTTTGTGCTCCTTATTGAGAATGCGTGGACGACCAGTTTGTCTTCTTTTCTTAAAGATATTATCAGAATCCCTCTCGTACTGTTCAGCCCATTTTTGTGCTGTACGAACGTGAATCCCAAGCTGTTTTGCAGCAGCAGCCGCGCTCAGACATTTCTCAAACAACAGCTTAAAGAACCTCACTTTATCCTGATCAGAATAGCGTGTATAATTTCGCTTCATAGATGTTTCGCCCATAACAAGATCACTGCCAGGCTTTACCTCCTTTTCCACTTGCATTGCCTCTACCGTTTTATCGTTCTCCAGAGGTAGTTGAGCTAAGTATTGTGTATGAGAGCTCAATGTTTCAAGACGAAACTGCTCCTCATCAACAATATAATCCATTGGTTCAGCCCTGCCATACTCGTTGACAACAGAATCTTTCCCATTTTCATACAAGAATTGAGTGTTCATTATGATGCAGTTTTAGTGTAATTGTGGAAGAGAAATAAAAGGAAGAGGGGCACTTGGTGTTCACTTTTATATCCAATGATGCCAAGGCTAAATATTCTTAGCAACAGGACATCCTATTTGTCAGCAAATACGAATTTACATTTCGTACAACATGAATTGTGTGTCTTGCCTAACACAATTGTTGTTGACTCCACTCCAACGTTAGATGTGGTTATAGGCTCTCTGAGCCACGCTTTATTTTTTAGAATATTTATAAATGATTAATTATAGTGTATACCCCTTTTCCTCATATCTTTCCAAGCCGCGCATTGTGGATATGAACGTAAATGATATCACAGACAAACAAATCCGTTAATTTCTCAAACGCACCTGTGCTCTCGACATCACAGACCATGCAAGACTGCACCACTAGATATGAATTGCCTGAAGAAATCCTACACAACATGGAAGAGTCTTCCAAAAGTTCTGTTAGGAACAATCTCCAGAAGTTCCAAAAAGACACCCTGCAGTATGACAGAGGCGACTAGACAAACCAGGCGCACTCAACAGGATATTGCAAAACGAAGTCAAGAGGTTCCAAATGGACGCTCTTACCATCATACAGAACAAATACAAAGACGCAGACAAGCTTCGCACCGTTGCCCACACAAGCACAGAAATTTATGAAGAACTGCAGTTCCTCATTGACAGAGGAGGGGCAGATGATAACAAAGACGTTTTACAAACGATCCTTGAGAAAACCAGACGATTGGCAGTCTACTGGTTTGCCAGTGGAAAAGCCATGGACGGAGAGGCAAAAGAACTCACCACAAAAGCACTTAAACTCCCTACTAGTGTCAAGTTTCTCGAAGATGAAATTGAGAAGGACAAAGACATGGTCTTCACTCCCAAAGTTGTTGCTAGCATCCAACAGGCACGATACGAAGAAAGCATGCTCTGAAGTGCGGTTGCCCTAAAACGAGGACGATTTTCTCGTGGGTGGAAGAGAGGAAGAGATAACAGCCGGAGAGGAGGAGGCTTCCAAAGCAGAGGAAAACCTGCCTATGGACAAAAGTCTTTTTTTGGCCGACCAAAGAACAATTACCATCCACCGCCAAACAACACCCAGAACACTTCCTCTCACCAGTCTCCACCACAATAAACAAACCGAGTACCCCTTCGGTTTCCAGACAAGCTGTATTTGCCAACACCATTGTACAACCTTCCCACGAACACTTATCACAGCAAGACTATGTAATTCCATTAGACGGCATACCTCCAGGCGGTCGTCTCACCACTTTTCTGAACCAATGAAAATTAACAACATCTCACCAATGGCCCATCTCAGTAATACAACATGGATACCAGATGCAATGGAATTCAACACCAATGCCTTGGCATACAGACCCATACAATAAATGAAAGAAGAAAGTTTAAACTCAACTAAATAGAACATCTTTAATGCAAAGTTGTTGTGCTTTTTTTAAAAACTCTTCTCATTCAAATCTCACAATGTCTCAGCAAATCAATAAAAGTATTCCTAAGAAACGAAAAGAGCTTTCAGACTATGAAAAAGGACTTATTATCGGTGGTGCTCTCCATAATATTTCATTGACTGCCATTTCGGAGAAGACAGGCATACCCATGACAACTGTACATAGCACAGTTCAAAGATGGAAACAGAATGGCACGCCATTAACAGAAAAACGCCAAGGACGTCCATCAATTTTGGGTGAGAGAGATTTACGCCAGCTTAAAAACGAAATGAAGAAAGATCGTAATGCCACACTTGGAGAACTCACAAACGCCATGAGACTCATGATTGGCAAGTACATTTGCAAGAATACCATCCGCAAAGCTATTCGTAAGATCATAATGTCTTCTTGCCATCTTGTGTTTAAGCCAAGGCTATCCAGAACACATAAAAAGAAACAATTGTTGTTTGCTAAACGTTGCAAAGAAACCAATCAAAGATGGGATCGTGTGATTTGGAGCGATGAGTCTCGCTTTATGGTTTTCCCAAAGGATGGAAACCTTAGAATTTGGCGCTTTCCTCTGGAGAAGTTCAAGTCTGGTTGTATCATGCCTAGAGTACAGTTTGGAGGTGGTTCGGTGATGGTTTGGGGCTGTGTGTGGGCAGGAGGAGTAGGCCCACTAAAAACGATTATTAACAGCCTTGACCAATTTGGCTATATAAACCTTTTGGAAAGAAAGTTGCTCCCATTTTATGGTCGCCTAAGTGAAAGACATGACGGGGAGTTTATTTACCAAGAAGACAATGCTCCTTGTCATAAGTCAAAACTTGTTGAGAACTGGAAAAAGACCCATAATGTACCAATAATGGAATGGCCGCCGAATAGCCCAGATCTCAATCCTATTGAGAACCTATGGGCTCATTTGGGTCGGATGGTAAGGGCAAGAGTACCAGCTCCAAGAACTATTAAGGAGCTAGACAAGGTTATCCATGAAGAATGGAAGAAAATACCGGTTGCAGTATGCAAGGCCTACTGCATGTCTATGCCAACTCGCATAGCCCGTATGAAGAAAGCCCGTGGTGATGTTACTAAATATTAAACTTTCAATAAAAATTATTTTTCTTAATATTTAAAGGTTATATATTCTTATTCCAATGATTTTGAAAGTGGTTTCTTAAGTAAAAGTAGACAAACAATGAAGAGAGAGTTAAGGATGTTATTTTTTCACTTTGGCGGAAGCTAAAATTTTCTTTCATTTAATTGATGAGACTGTACATGACAAATACAGTCACAATCAAAAACGTTTCGAGTTCTGAGCCCAAAAAATGCATGAGAGAAATCATGGCATGTATTCAACATGCAACTGCTCCTCAGTAATAAAAGCTAAAGCATTCAAACTTCAAATAAAAGATTATATATATGTTTATTATTGAAATATAAAAAAAAAGATCAATATTTCGTACGACCTCCTTTGGTCTCAATTACAGCCTGGCATCGATGCTGTATGCTTCCAGCCAAAGTTGATGAAAGTTCGAGACCTATCCTTCGCCACTCTCGTTGCATTACAACCTTCAGATCTTCAACGTTGTTAATACTGGCCCTCTCGTCGCTCATGCGCCTCTCAAGAGCCCACCAGAGACGCTCGATGGGATTGAGATCCGGGCTTTGAGCGGGCCAGTAGTCAAAACCTCGGATCTCAAGGCTATCTTTCCACCACCTCGAGTACGACCCAGTATGACAGCTGGCATTGTCCTCTTGGAACACGAAGCTCCTGTTCTGTTCCCGTGAAAGATTTTGGAACCAAGGGAGGAAGTTCTGAGCCAACGTATTTACATATTGGTCTTGGTTTACGTTACCATCTAGGAACACCAAAGGGCCAAAACCACCGGCCCAGAAACAGTTCCAGATCATCACACTACCCTTCCCTCACTTGGTTCCTTCGATGATATTTTCTTTCTTGAAGCTTTCACCGACTTTCCTGATTGCTCTAGCTCCTCCATAATTACCCTCAACTGTGAACCGTGATTCATCTGACCACACTACACCTCTCCACTGGTCATCTGTCCAATTCACATGCTCATGGGCCCATTCCAGCCTTCTTTTCTTGTGGCTTTCGGTTAAAGCTGGCTTGTGAGCTGCGATATATGATCCATAGCCCAAATGCTTCAGACAACTGATTATTGTCTTTCCGCAGACAAATACCTCCATATTCTTTAAGGAAGCCCTTAGCCTAGAAAATGAGGCAAAGTGGTTCTTACAAACTATTTGGACAATGTGTCTTTCTGTTCTCTCGTCAATCTTTCTAGGTCGTCCGGACCCTTTTCTTGGCTCGGGAAATCCTGTCTTATCCACTGTCTTAATGATGTACTTCAGTTGACAGACTCATGCCAACCACCAATGAAATCTGAGTCGCCCATAATTTGCTAAATGCTTGTATATAATGCATCCGTATTTATAGGGATCAGCCTTTTCATATGATACGTGGATGTTTTCTGATGAATTTGTGTCTTGCATGTTGGATTCGATTAATAATATTGGGAGAAAACAATGTTTTTATTTTTATTTTTTCGATTTTTTTTAGGCATTTTTTGCGGGGGTCGAAACGTTTTTGATTGTGAGTGTATATTTTATATATATTTTATATTATTTCTGATCATGGATGTCGAGGTTGCGGTGAGATTTACTGCTTCTTGAGTTTAATTTCTTCACCTCAGCATCAGTGTCCTTGGTATACACAAACTTTCTGTAAGCCTAGATATATATTCACGCTTTCTTGTATGACCTTCTTATCAATGTTGGAGGACTAGAAGTAAGATATGTATCATATAGAAAGTACGAGAGATTTTTCGCGAGCAGGGATTGTTTGGTTTATCTCCATTGCAACCCACTCTCCAATTTTTTTTGGAATGAGGGTTTTTTTGGGGCTAAGGTCCATCCCCAGCTCACAGTTTTGTATGATTATTTGAACTTTAACAAGTTGACTATTCTCTACTGTAGTCTGCTTTCCGTTTTCTCCCAATTGTTTCCGAGACCATGTCATAAAATAATCGAAATATTATACGTCCATCTCTCGAAAAACTGCTATCCTTGAGTCCATATTTTTAATTGTTTGAGACGACCTTTGGTTTCAGCACCATGAAGATGACAATATAAGGCATCCGGGGTGTGTGAATTGCTGTTATTGCTCTGGTCAAAGAAGAAACACTCTCTGTGCATCCCTTATGGAGAATTTCAAAGAAATGGGTTATTTGTTTCTTCAGCCGTCCACGCATACCTTAATTTGTCCACTAACCGTCATCTGCAGTCCCAACATTGAAAAATGGCGCGCCAAAGCCATCCATCGATCCGCATAGTGCCACAGCAATCCCACTGAAAATCTCAAATCGTCAGGACTCTCCCCTGACATTTATTACGGATGTGGCCTTGACCTTCCTCAAGCCACATGCCCACATTTCCATCATGCGCATATAAGGTGGAATTGGAGTGTGTTACCATCGCCAGCTTGGACTGATCCACCATAAGACAATGATACACCTCAAAATATTCACTTTTGGCTGTAAATTCACATATATTGCTCATATGTCATCGTTCTTGTTGCCCGTGCATGACGGTATTATACAACACTGGGACTCTCGTGTCCATCGAAATAAACAGCCTGATCATTATTCTTTTCGGGGGGCGTACCTCCCCAAGCTCTCCATGTACTTGCTTATAGTACCAGTAACTACGTTTCCTTTTATGTCTAGGCATGAGGGAAAAAGGATTTAATACGAATATTTCTTGAGCTCAACAATGGTTCGACTTTCATGCTTTTAAGCACGAAGCAAAACTAATATTTTTCTTTTATTCTGCAAGTTTTCTTTGTCTATAATCGAGGGGCGCATGGAATTTTCTTCCATATTAGTGTTTATATTTATTTTTCAAAACAAAATATACTTCTTGGTACTTTAAAGGAGAGTTACACATAAATTTTGGTAGTCTTTATGATGCTTTAATCATTTTTTTAGTCGTTTAAGTTGTGTTTGAATACTCCTTTATAAAACAAGACACTTGCTGTGTTTGAAGAAGGAGGATTGGACTAGCTCGTTGCTTGAACTCAACGAAAACCTTTGTTTATTTTATAAAGTAGCTCATAGGAAATCCTAATTTTTTCTTAAATATGTTATTTATCTGATCGGTCGTTGGCTTAGGTACATCCAGAGACTCGGCTACAGCCAAGGCTTGTAGAACAGGAACCGAGAATCCAAAATCAGCGAATGTTTTGATTCTTTTGGTTTTTTGATTTTTGCTTGCTTTCAAGTTCATATTTTGCTTTCTCTCTCTCTCTTTCTTTTTCTTAAAAATAAAATAAAACTATTACTTTAGTTTTTTTTTGGCGTTTGATTGAGGTTGCATAGCTTTCTTCTGTATATTTCTCGTAAATTATTTCCCGTATCAGGGTATCCAAAACCAAAAAAAAAAAAAAAAAAAAGTTGATTATTATAAAAGTCAACCAATCATATCCGTATCCAAATAAAGAAGTTCCCAAGCTATTCTTCTGGAAGTTAATTTTCTGCAGTTGTATTCTTAGGTATCACTAAGTGATGTTTGTATTTGGAACATATATATATTCTATCATTTCTTATACAAGTTTATAGCCAATTTTAACGTAAGAATTCTGCAACCTATTTCATTTTATATAATTTGTGGTTATTGAATTTGACACAAAATTGAAACAAAATTGATATATCCTAGCTATAGGTATATGGGGTTTTTTTATATATATAAACAATGACAAGTGGAATGCACAGATCTATATTATTTTGTTAATCGATTAACAAACAAACAAAACATATATATATATATATATAATTTGCTATTGAAATACAGAAATTCCTAAAAATGCTAAATGTTGAATTCTGCCTACAAAGGAAACGATGATGTCAATGTATCGATTATTTGTTAGTGAAATAAATAAATAAATAAATAATGAAAATGGTTTAGACGATTAATGATATGTAATTGCTGTAGTAGTGAAATAATAGATAGCCTTTTAGTTTGGTAGACGAAACATATATACTTACTTACTTTAGAATAATGACTTTATTATATTCCATTCCATTAGATTAGATTAGATTAATATCAGTAATATATTTTGGGGATAAAAAATATAACAATTAAGAATAAGAAGAAGATCTGGGTCTTGATAGTCAAAAGAGAGATAGGGATATTCACAATATGTGTTATCAATTGCGCCTATAGTTAATTTGTAGCCATTAAAAACATTGAAAAAGAAGGAACTGATTCTATAAAGAATACGTATATTCAAATAACAGCAATATATACTTCTTTAATCATGTCTAAATGTATATGATATAAATACTAATATATGTATGGCTAACTGTTATTGCTATTAAATTAAATATGGTAAATTTAAAGTAGGCTGCGTGGAATATTTGTACCTGATTTTTTTGATTAGAGATTTATTAATGGTAGAAATTGTATACGTATATATGCGCGTGGAATATCAATACACACAGGTACGTACGTATATGTATACATGTACCAACATGCGTATGTGTGTGTGTGTGTGTGTGCACGCGCGCGTACTCGTGTATATGTATTATAATTTTTTTATACTAATAATTTTTTATTTATATATATATATATATATATACAATTTAATCGAATTAATCGAATCAACTTCTTTATCGATTTGGAAAAGAAATGTATTGGCACCTTGCACGTGTAAAATGACAATATTAAAAAAAAAATTTCAAGAACAATAAATGATATGCTACTGAATCTTTATAAAGATGAAATATATATATATATATTAATTCAAAATCAAAGCTATAAATATACATACGTACATACATACATACATACAAGCATATAATACAATATAATATACCGTTACTATGAAAGGTCTTTAAGATAGACGTATGAGTAAATGAGAAGAGGTTAGAGATAGATAGAGAGCGATGGAGACGATCTGACCAATAGAAAGCAATAAAATAGACCATAACAACCGGGAACCGATTCTCTACGTCATATCAGATTTGGCGTGTAATCGATATGAAGTGTGTATATTTTGTAATGTTTTACAATATGCATACAAATATGAACCCTTTCTTTTCCATTTGACATTTTGTGGATCCGACTAATGAACCCTATCTACCTCTCCTGCTATTAATCACACTCTACCCTCTTCATGCTACACGCAGCAGTTGAACTCTACACTACTCTATCTATATGCAGCCCACCCAAACTCTCTGTTTTTTTTTACATATGCTTCATTTGATCTATTTCCACCCTTTTATCCATATTAGGAAATGATCTGAGCTTATCATCGATAAAACGGATTTACAGTATAGTACTATACAATCTACAATCTACGCTATACATTATACACTATTACAAGTGTAATATATAATATTTTATAATATAATAAAATATAATAATTACATTACATTACGCACTTTTGCCTTCTATTCATCGATTGTGATATATTGTTTTATACACTTCTTTAAATTTTTTTTGTTCAGTAGCATTACTACTATATTGCTTAAATACTAAGCCGGAGTTTCTGGTTAATATTATTATTTTACACTACCAGCCATTATCACCAATGTTGCTACAGCTACTGCTATTACTGCTATTACTACCTATACAAATACAAACAATAAACAATAAATGACTTGTATTTATCGATGATGCATATCATTGAACGGAGTCACTTCTTTAACCTAATTTTTTTTTGATTTTTTTTGGTTGATTTCATGTCATTTCATTTAAGAGTCAGACAGGGGGGGGGGGGGGGTAGCTCAATTACGTAGTGTAATCGCAAACAAGACAGGCTTGAACACACCCAGTCAAATAATAATAATTAAAAAAAAATATAACACAGCAACAGAGGATATCAAACACTATACCTTTGAACGGCGTCTAAATGAAACGTAATGGTAAGATATCACTTAAAACCAGCCTTGCCATATCTGGGATTCATCGTAACCACTTCTAAATGCCCTTGTAAAAAAAAATTAAAAAAATTAAAAAAAAATGGTTAAGCATATAAAGTCCATTAAATTTTTCTTTGCTTTACAATTGAAATATTTTAACTCTATTCTTATTGTTAATATCAATATTTTACATCATGTCTGAATATCAACAACAGCAAGGCCAGTACGCTTCTACTCCTGTCATCCAGGAGCCAGTCAACCCTGCCGAATCCGGAGACAACTACGACTTGGCAATGCAGTTCGCCAACCGTCTCAACACCGGCTCAGACAGCCCTCGCGGTCAGCAAGACTCTGCCTCCGTTCGTAAGGACTGGGCTCTCTTGCGTGATCCCGTTCTCCACAGCGAGCGTCTTGATTCGATCCGCTCCAAGAAGGGTTATATTATTGATATGGATGGTGTTATCTACCACGTAAGTTTTATTATATAGATATCCCTGTCATTTCATTTTATAATTTTGGAGATAAAGAGTTAAAGGTGTTTTAGAGCAGTAATACCCAAATCCTAAATCACAGATCATTAACAATCCATATTTAATTTATAGGGAACTAAATTGCTTCCTGGTGCCAAGGAATTGGTTGAGTTCTTGATGAAGAACAACAAGAAGTTCCTCTTCTTGACCAACAACTCTGCCCCCACTCCCCGTGAGTTGCAGCAGAAGCTCAGCCGTCTAGGTATTGAGGTTTCAGAGGATCACTTTTTCACTGCTGGTCAGGCAACTGCCCTCTTCCTCAAGTCCCAGATGCCCGAGGTAAGAAGCCTAAATTATAAGCACAATATTATATATATACAAAAGTCAAGGTTTAAGATCATTAACATTCTTATCAAATAAATTACAATAGGGTGGAACCGTCTACGTTATTGGTGAGCCCGGTCTTTCTTATGCTCTCTACGACATGGGTTTCTTCATGAACGACCACAACCCCGACTACGTTGTCTTGGGTGAAGGTCCTTCGTACGATTACGGCAAGCTCACCAAGGCCATCCAGTTGGTCGAAATGGGCGCCAAGTTGATCGCCACCAACCTCGATCTCGAGAACCTTGATTCCCAGGGTAAGAAGCTCCCATCCTGCGGTGCCTTTGCTGCCAGCGTTGAGCTTGTCACCAAGACCAAGGCATTCTTCTGCGGTAAGCCTTCCGCCTTGATCATGCGTTATGCACAGCGCGTGCTCGGTTTGAGCCGTCTGGAGACCTGTATCATTGGTGATCGTATGGACACCGACATCATTGCTGGTATCACCTCTGAAATCGATGCTGTCCTCGTACTCTCGGGTGTCACTGCTATGGAAGATCTTCCCTCTTTCGCCTACCGTCCTTTCCTCATCCTCGGCGGTGTCTATGAGATCCCTGATGATGATGACAAGCATCTTGTCACTGACAGCCAGCACGAAGAGGCTACCCGTCGCGCTTCTTACCTTTAAAGATCTATATACATAACAAACAAACGATACTAGAAAGGACAAGAACATAATAATCCCTTATACTCCTTTTCTTTCTGTCTTTATATGGCAAAAGAAGAAATAAGAGCAACACAGTAAATAGTCATCAAATTATCTTACTCTTCATTTCTTTCTTTAAACCAAAACCCACTATCTATCCCTATCACACCATCCCTACCACCATCACTATTATCCATGTCTTAAAATCACCGTTTTGTACAGAATAAAAAAAAAATTTAAAAAATAAAACAAAATAATAAATTGTGACTAGATAAGATCTTTGCATAATCGGAATTATATATACACAATATTCGTATATCAAAATAACCATCTGAAGCATACATTTAAACTCTGACCCAAAACAATTAAATAGCCAAAACACACACTATCAAAATAAGCCATATGTGGTGGCTATCCAATAATATTAACAATAACAATACTGTATTTTACATATATATATATATATACTAGGAGCTTCTTCATTGATTTAGCCATGAAATTATGCAAAACATTATATTAGTTATTGTCCTTCTAGTCCCTATAATCAATATCTTATATACTTTACCAGCAAAGAAAAAGAAGAGACATTATGTCAGATACCAAAAGAAATCCAAGTGTAGTCAAGCTCCCCTTGTTTGAATAATATCCATGAGCTTATCATTGAAAGAAATAGTATCAGTTTAAAAGCAATGTAGCGATTCTATTTGCACTTTCCTTTAAAACAGTTAGGGCATACCACGCACAAAAAAGAAATCGTAGCAGGAGGTACGAATGGACAAGCAACTTCTTTTAACACAGATTGTTTTAATTTTATATCTATAAAATATTTATTAAATATCTGTATTGTTTCTTTCTCTCTTCATGAACAATAAATTCAAAGACCAAATATTTAAGAGTTTGTTCAATAGTTGGTTGAGAAAAACCATATAGTTCTAACACCAAGTCTTACTATTTGGTCATGGATAATGCAAATAAACTACATCATATCTCAAGCATAATTTTGAAGGCTTGGGAGTGAAACACGCGGTTTCTCACTTTGGAACAGAAATGTATTGATATAGAGAAAATATTTGTGTTCATTCATAGCTAGTCTGCTATACAAATATTCTGTATATCTACTATATAATTTACATTATATTTAGTGTCTAGTATTTTTACATAAGAAATTCAGACCATGAATATTTTGTACTTTTTTCAATACTTTTTTTTTTATTATTATATATATATATATATATGTCATATAAAAAATAAAATAAAAACAAAAATTGCATTTTAATTAATATTTTAATCAATTAATTATTTTTAATTTATTTATTTATTTTTATTTAAGCACAAAAAAAAAAGAAATAAGAAGAGAGTAGATCATGACTCCTACAATCAAGCCATGGAGTAACAACATCTTCCAACTCAATGACTTTAAGAAACGCCCTCTTCCCGTCGGTAGGATTGACTATGAAGCTGCCAAAAGAAATCTAGATGAATCATGTAAAAAACGGTCAATTTCAACAAAGCCAGGTACTCTGCATCGCATGTCTGGGTCATTGAACCCATTCTCCTCTGATACAACACCCCACGAACTACTCAATGTCATCACTCTCAAGCCAGCAAAGAGTTTGGCCTTGTTTGGATCTCACACAATATTTCATGAACCAATAGTACCAATCCAATTAGACATTGAGCAGCTCATTAAACGACGGAAACTTCACCACAGCCCACCACAACCATCACCACAACCTACTACAACTATTACTACGACTACAACTACTACAACTATAACTACAACTACTCATGCACTTTCTTTTCTTAAACATACTCCTCCTGCTCCTCCTGCTGCTGCTCCTAACCAGACTCTTGAAATACCAGAAAAAAACACTGGATTTGAATTTGCCCAAACAAACTCTTTAAAAAGTCCTTTGGATCTTAATCGTGAACCAAACTCTGCCAACACTACGCGCTTTACACCAGAAATATTACCAACACGAACATTTCAAAACACTAATAACACAAATACCACCAGCAACAACAGAGTTAGTACCACACCAGAATCCACAAAGGTTCCGTCTAGTCCATTTCCAGCGCAATGGATACCACTTTATCCTCCTTGTAAATCTTTTCTTTTCTTGATCGTGTTGACACTATTGGATTATTATCATTATTATTTCACTAACAAATAACAATATACATAACCATGTATTTGTGTTTACTTTTATATTCGATTATAAATTGTTAGTGATCGAAGGACCTGCATCAATTGATGCTGAAAAGATTCTGTTTATAAAGAAGTTTTTAGAAGCAACTACTTATCTTGCGGTAATGATTTATAACCAGAATCAAATCTCTTCAACATTTGACTTGATTTTATTTTATTTTATTTTGTCTAAAGACAATAACAACAACTATTAACCTTCCTTTTTCTACTTCTTCTTAATTACAACTAAAAAAAAATAGGGTCTCCACATTGCTATTTTAACCAACTCGCCACTGGTTGAAAATACCCTAATCTCTCAACTTCCAGATTACAAATTTAGATACTCAAGACTTAGTGATATATTGAATGATGAAACCGAAAAAGGCCAAGGTGTTATGGTCCACAATCGACCAGCGAATAAAGAAACCGGAAATGTAAAGATCAAAATAAGAAGAAGAAAAATGAGAAAAATGAGAAAGAAAGAAGACGAGAAACTAATAACCTATTTTTCTTTTCTTTTCTTTTTTTTTTTAAAAAAAAACACATTACAATTTTAATTTTAATGTGTCCAATTCCTATCTACATCTAAATCTGCACGAACGAACAAAAAATACTATAAACTTATGCAGAAAAAACTGGAAATGAAGGCCGACATCGTATTAATGTGGGATGGTCTTCGTCTCACTTACCCTGTAGTATTCAGCAAGCTTCACGGCAAATCGAAACCCAAGCCATCTGTACTCAAGCTGGTTGCCCTTGGAACAGAAAAGGAGCTCAGAGAAAGAGAAGAGGACCGTGCACGGTGGAAAACGGTACCAGATTATTTTCAGACCTTAGAAAACGGGAAACGGCCAATCTCCTGTTCAATCACCCAGGCGTCTGTTGGTCGACTGGTCCGACAGATAATCAAGTGGATCAAACAAGGCCAGAAAGGTGATTTTGTGGTCCGGTTCTCGGATATGTTTCCTACACTTCAAGAGATACCGCTTAATAAGAACGATCACTCGCGCAACCAAACAAAGATTTGTTTGCCAAATGGCCAGACAGTTACCAACTTTGGGAATATATCGGGCGGATTAAGACATATTACTACGCCAAACAATGTGCCACCAACTATACATGCTGAGCGTACTGAGTGTACTGAGCGTACTGAGCGTACTGAGCAAGCTAACCACATCAAGCCTACTGAACGCACCGGCAATATTGAGAATATTGAGCAGTCAGACAAGGCTGGTTCTACTTTACCTGATAAACAAACAAACGGAGTTACTCCAGGGATGGAAGGCCTTACCAATCATACAAATAAGGATGTTGGTTCGAATCTTCCTACAGGACCTCTACCTGCGCCACATGTACAGCCTATGCCACAGCCTAGGGAATCCTCGGCACCTTTGGCAACAACATCCCCTCGAACACAATCCCAATCTCCACAAATACAACCTGCGCAACCTGCGCAACCAGAACTTCATGTACTTCCCACGCCATCGCACAAACCTACATCCACAAAAATCACAGCACAAACAGCACATACAGAACAGGCGGAGCAAACGGAACAGACGCCACAAAAAGCACAGGAAGTAGAGGCGCCACAGGAAGTACAAGTACCACATGAAGCACAAGTACCACAAGCACTACAAGGACCACAGGAAGCACAGGCAGAACAGACAGAACAGGCAGAACAGGCAGAACAGGCAGAACAGGCAGAACAGGCAGAAAATGCAGTAGAGGCAGTAGAGGCGGCTGTGTCTGGGGTATCTGGGAGAGCGATCCACGGACATTTTGTAGAACCATGTGCTGGAACATATGGGCTAGAGAGTGATCAATTAAGCGATACCGAGGCTGACTCGGACATGATAATTAGCGAAGCATCTTCTCGTGAATCAAGTGTATACTCTATGTCCCATAATTCTCGGGATCGTGCATTACAAATATCCCAAGAAATAGTTTGTAATAATCCAGAAAAAAAACATGCGAATAGTACTGCAACTACCCAAACTACTGCTAGTGCAAGTGCTGGTGGTGAAACGATTACTGATCAGCACACACACAATCCAGAGTTTTCCACTGTTGTACTCAAGCAGATCCAAAAGGTTTCTTTCTCTTTTTTTTGGGGGTTTTTTTTTTAATATTAGAAAACTAAACTAAAGATGGATACTTTGTAGTGCTTTGAATATCCTAGCTTTTCATTTTATGGAAATTCTTTGACACGAAAACATGCTCACAACAACATCAGCAACAATGTCAGTGATAATCCTAATAATCACAATAATCTTCATCATAACATCCTTCAACAACAACACCAGCAGCATCATCCTCATCCTCATCACCAAAATGATTATTCAAATCAAAATGATGTTTACCGAGCAGCTGTTACGAGAACTGGGATTAGTCATGGTAGTAGACGGACGACACCTGCATCTGATGATGAATCATCATACTATTCTGCTAGTGAGTCAGAGCCTTATCCAATTCCTATTTCAACTGTGGACGAAACATGTCAAGAGGAAGTCGCTGGTACACAAGAGTTAAAAGAGAAATACAAGAAGAAGAACAAAAGAAAAAAAAGAAAAAAGAAAAAAGGAATAGAGCTTCTTTAAGAGTAAAAGAATAATATACTCCCTCTCACGGTGGTGAAGAAACTATAACGATAATTATAATGCGAATAGTAATGATAATGCCAATGATAATGATAATAACTGCTGTCTGTTTTCTTTTGTATATAGATGATATCAATACTATGTTTCCTGGACTTGAGGCACTTCGACTGTCTTTTGAAGAAGAGCAACAAAAGGTTTTGGATCACATAAAGACAGTTTACGATGACCAAATGAAGGCTTTGAAAGACAAATATGAAGACAAGGCAAAGCATATCTTTTCAACTTGCATACCATAAAAAGAAAATAAAATAAAGGTAAAATATATATATGTATATGTATAAAATTACTCTACACAAATACCCTCTCTAAATACAGCCACATGCATCAGAAATATCATCATAATCATAATCATAATCATAATCATAATCAAGATAAGACAAGACTAGAAAAGAAGTTTCTGTAATTCACAAATCAATCAATAAATCAATAAATCAATCAATCAAATAGAAACTCTATTTATTTGTTTGTTTGTTGGTAGATTGATTATCTTGATTATTAGCACCATAATCGCCAAAATCGCCTTTTATCATCATCACTATGACTACCATTACTATCATCAAACAATACAATACAATATGCTATGATATATGTATTTGCACACATGTACTAGGGTTGTATCGTGTGCTTCTAGGGTACTTTATTTGGCTATTGCATTAATCTTACAAAGGCAGAATCAAAGGCAAAAGAAAAAAAAAACTTTTATTTTCTTGGTTGTGTAAGTCTCTTGTATTATTAACCTCACAATAAGTAAGTAAGAAGTCGCGGGTTGTGGGTTGTGGGTTGTGGTTAGTGGTTGTGTATGGCGTAATTTACTAGTGATATCTAGCCACATCTGAAGCTCATAATTTGCGTGTGCATGTATCTATATCTATTATTGACCCAAGAAGACAACAACAACAATAACCATTAACAAGATTAGATTCTGTATGTATGTACTTATTATACAAACACACATATAAATTTATGAAATTTGAATCGAATTAATTAAATATGTGCATGTGCATGTATATGTATATGTAATTCGGTTTTGCTCAAGATGTATCATATTAACTGTAGTACAGATTGTACACAAATATTTCTAGAGAGAGGAGACAATGGGTCTAATGTTAAATAGATAGTTTAAAGCCCTCTTTTCTTTTTAATTTCTATCTTTACAAGCTCCTTGAGCAAGGACTCGGGATTCTGTAAGCATGCATGCATACATACATACATACATACATACATACATACATACATACATACAATTATTTTGTACTTGTACTTTATACCTTGTGCTTCAAAGGAAGAATAAAGAATATGTTTTATATTTGTAGGGTACCCTGCCCAACGTTAATATATAAATCTTGTTGAGAATTCTCATCTGTACTCTTTTCTTTTTCTTTCTTTTTTTTTTACATATTAGTAATACCAATAGCAATACTAATGTCAATACGAATAATAACAATAATGCTAGTACTAGTGTTAATACTAAAAGCAATAATGCTTGAATATTGCATTTGATTGTAATAATTGCCTACGAATTGATATGCATATAAATATAAATGTAATTTACAGCTTAATAATAATAATAATAATAATAATAATACATTCTCGGGCTATTGATAGAAAATAGCCATATGTTTTGTTTTTGTGTATATATATATATATCTTTGCTCTCTTTTTATTTTATTTTTATTTATTGGCTCACAATTAAGCTTTAAGATTATTTATGTGTTTGTCTCATCAAAAACACAAAAACCGAATTTATAAATACCTATAATATTTATATATGTGCGAAAGATATATTCTATTTTATTCGAAATTGATTGAACAATCTTCTGTAACCAAAAGGTCCATTTTCAAACCAGATTATATTCGACGGCTTAGCTTCGTATATGTCTGCTAGAATACTATTCTACAATTAAATTCAAATAGCTTGGAATACATATATCAAAGGGCTTTCATATTCTAATTTGATTCGGTTTTTTTTAATACGAATTGTATTCTGCCTATTTTATTCTACCCTAATTGGTATCCCCATAACAAGTGTAATCGAATGACCTACAGATTACGATATAAGCATAAACGCATTTCACTAATATGGCTGCCATGTTTAAATATGCATATACATACATAACTACATACCTACAGATTGCTGTTTTAGTCTTTTGATCCTCAATTTCACCTGAGACAAATATGACCAGTAGCTTTAGCCTTGTATACTACTGCAACGAGGTATTTAACTTGTCCAAATATTATCTCGTAAATCTGTACTGCGATCAAATATATAACAAGACATGTTACCCTAGCCAAAAACACACACACACACACACACACAAAGTTAATTTATACAGAAAGTAGCGTACCCGAGTGCTTTTATATTAATCGAGAAACCCTTTAAATTTTCATTGATTCTATTGAAAGAGACATCATATAACTAGTAAAAACCCGCATTTGTATGTATGTGGTACTGGCCGCAACATTTGGTTTGTTAATGGGGCCACCAACAAGTATCCCGACAAAATAAAGTCTTTCTCCGATCTCAAGGACTGAAAAAGAACGAATTCAAGTTTGAAAAAGGCCCTGAGCATAATTTTAGATATGGTAAAGTGAAGCCAGCTGGCACGAGGTGGCAATCCTTTTACTGTATATCGTTCTGGCTGGAAAGACCGTCCTTTCTAAAGAAACGCTTAACAAACAGTTTTTGAATGGTGTTTTAGGAATACAGATTGTGGATCCGAACTCTGATGTTCTACGTTCTGCCGCCGTCTGCTATATATAAAAGAAATTTGTACACGATGCCACGACTTGCAGAAATCAAGATCTCGGACAGTCCTTACAGAGTTTATCGCATCTTGTCACAGATATCTTTGATCGGCTGTAGGTATGTGTTTACCGAGAACCCGCGGATTATCATTGATCCCAAAACTCATTTACTATTTTGATGAATGTGCTTCAATTTTTCTTTTTGCTTTTATTATTGTGATTAAAGAAACTGATATAAACTACGGGAAAAAGAGGGTGATTCAGAGGGCAATTTTGAAAAAAAATGCTTGATATTTAATTTTTTTTATCCATAGTAATAGTGGATCCATTATAATTTCTGAACAGTATAGCGCACATATAACCATGCTTTACGATGGTCCTTTTTAATTCAAAAAGGTCTTTATCTGTCGAACTCTTATCTTTACCTCTTTTTTTTTCCTTTTCTTCTATTGTCATTGAGAAAACCAGTGAGGAATCACTGTAGGATGCAATGTTTCCAGTATTCACTTATGAGTCGCTATTGGCTCAACAACAAGCTCATTCTGATCAAAAGATGATATATACTACATGAGATCAAGGCAACTACCTTTAAACAAAAATAAAATTATATTCAGAAGTAAAACAAACCGTTTGCATTATATATATATATACATATACTTTACGGGTGCCTGTAAATCTTGTCGTTATACAACATCACTTTCTAAAAATACGATTCCCATTTCTGAAAATGCAACATTGATTTTTATTGGCCAATAACATCTATCTTGATTGGCCGCAACATTGGTTGTTGGAAGCACTATACATTTGAGTGAGTGAGTGAGTGTGTGTGTCTGTAGCTCCTTATAATTTTTTTTTTGGGTTTTGTTTGCTTGTACACTTGAACACTTGTACATTTGAACATTTGAATACTTGTAGACAAGGTTCTAAATCGAGCAATTCTCATTCATTAACAGGTTACACTAACACACGGATACATAAGAAAAAGGAAAGAAGGGAAAAAAAGGAGGTACACAATTTCTGTACAAAATCACACTACCATATACCGATTGAATTGGCATAAATCTTTGAAAATATACTTTATACACCTATTCATACTACATAAATAAATATGTGCATGCAGTGTGTATATATGCATGAATCTACACACGCACACACATATATATATTCTTTTGCTAGAAAAAAAAGTGAGTCAATCGTAATCGTAATCATAATCTCGATTATAATTTTGATCATAATTGTAAGCGTAATTAGGATTAAAACTGTGATTGTAAGTGTATTTTATTTTATTTTATTGTGAATGTGAGTGTGAGTGTGAGTCAATTGTGTAATGATGGGAAGGGGAAGTGAATGTACAGATTGTGTTTGTATCGATGAAAAAGAAAGAAAGTATAAAATAATGGTAATATATAATATATAATGATAAAATAAATAATAGAAAGAAAAGAAGTATGATTATTGAAAGGAGGGGCTGCATGATTTATATTTTCTTTAAAAAAAGAAAGAAAATTAAAAGAAAGAGAGAAAAGCTTAATGATGTGTGTGTAAGGAAAAAACAAACAAACAAGTAAACAAGTCGTCTTCTTCTTTTTCTTCTTTTTTTTTTATTGTGCCATCTCTAATGGCGTGCTTTTCCTTCTCCAGGATGGTTGAATGGTACTGAGGCGCTTGCTCAGGGATGCAGTCAGGGATGGTTTTTTGGATATCGATTTGTTGTTCATTTTTGCCTTGTGCTTTCTCTCTAATTCTTGAAGGCTTTTCAAGGCTTGCTCGTTACCGTGGTTTGCTGCTCGTGTGTACCACATCTTGGCTTCGTCTCTATCTGGAGGTCTTCCGATTCCAGCCAGGCAAAAGTAACCAACTGCATATTCAGCCTTTGGGAGTTGTTTTTCAGCTGCCTGGAGCGCCCAATCATAAGCCGATTCTTCTGAAATGTCGATAATCTCAGGTACGCCGACCATGTACCAGGCAGACATTGCCAGGCAGGCCTCGGCGTGTCCTTGTTCGGCGGCGTCGCTGTAGTATGATACCGAAAAGCGAGCGTTTGGCTGGCAGCCCAACAGCCCAAATTCGTAACATTCGCCGAGTCGAAATGCGCTTGGGGGGTAGTGTAGATTGGCAGCTTGTTTGTAGAGCTGGACGGAATACGAATGGTCCGCAAAGATGAAGGACGGGATACCGCGCTCGTGCAAGAGCCCTAATTCGTGCAGCGCGTGCGGGTATTCTACAGTTGCACCCTCTGCAGATCTTTTGAGCCACTTGTGTGCATCTCGGACATTGCGGGTCATTCCCAGGTTCCCATGTAAATCGGCAAGTCCAAGTCTGTACATTGCACCAGGATGGTTGAGTGAAGCCGCTCTCCTGTCAAAATATAGCAAAATAATTAGCGCCTTTTTAAATCAAAGAAAAAAAAGAAAAAAAGAAGGGTATTACAATTTATATTCTTTTTTTTTTATACCTGTAAAATTGTACAGCCTTTGCCTTGTCTTTTCGACAACCAAGTCCATCTTCATAACACTTTGCCGATCTGATTTTTTTTTAAAAAGAGTTATATGGTAACAGGTTTACAATTGTGACGATGGTGATAGGCAATAGTAGTGACATTAACATTATATTGACGGTGGCGGTAGTTATGGTGATGGTAGTTATGGTGATGGTAGTCATGGTAATTGATTGACGATTGATGATTAATAAACAAGCGAAGAAAAAGGAAAAGGAAGAAGAAGATTAGGTTTATACACATACAAAAGAAAAATAGAAACAGCTAAGGTTCTCAAATACTTCTTGGTAGGACAATTTTTTCCAAACTGATGTTGTTACATTGTTCACTCAAATATAATACAATTCACCATGTTTATATACATATATATACATATATATATATATACTTTCTCTTATTCTTATTCTTATTTGATTCTTATTTCTTCTTCTTTTTCGTTCCACGTGCAATTATGTATATAGTATAATATAAAATAAAAGAATTTGATTTCTTTTTCTTTTTCTTACCGATACGCGGCATCTGCGTGGTGATGCTTAGCAGCTTGTACAAATAAAGGAAACGCCTTTGAAAAGTCTGACTTGTTGTTTTTGTCAAGCATGCCCGATGCGTACATGTTACCTAGATAATACTGCGCTTCAGAATGACCGCGCATGGCAATTGGCCTCAGAGTCTTTTCGGCCTCTTGCAGATATGCGTGCCGAGAGTCTGGGGCAGCCTCGAGATCCTCTTTCTGTAGTCGCTGCGCAGCCTCGACAAGAAAGGTTGCAAAATCACACTGGACATCTGGATTATTGGTACGCTTTGCATTGTCTCGGTACATGCTGAGGGTCTTTGTGTAGGACAGTAACTCAGCCTGCGAGCCTGGCTTTAGATGGGAATGGGTCAGCAATCGCTCCGAAGTCAGCGAAGATTGCGAGCCCGACAGAGAACGAACATTTGTTGCGGTTGTGTTTGTGGGACTAGAGATATTGTCGATGCTGTTGTTGCTTCGATGACTGGCACCACCACTTGCCGGGGTTATGGGCGATGCAGGAGAAGCCGAACTTGAGCTTGAGCCTGACGCTGAAGCTGATTCTGGAGATGAAGATAGATTATCATCAAGAGATGTCTGGCTAGAGTTCTGTTGTCCAGGAATGATATTGATGCTGATATTAGTACTGTCATTTGTGTTGCTTCTGTCGCGACGTGTGGAGGATTTTGGGCCAAGTAGAGGGGAATCGGGAGGTGTATTTGGTACACCAAACTTTGTCTCTGGCTGAGATGTTGGTTCTATTGGTTGCTGTGGCTTGTCTTGAGCCAGGGAACGGTAGTGGTCGACTCTTTGTTGGATATCTTCGACAAACATTTGATAAAGATGCTTTTTTTCTTATGATTATTTTCAAATAAGTAAAAGAAGAAGAAAAAAAAAGGTATATAATATTTATATGTGTATGTTTTATATTTATAAAAATAAAATTTCAAGAAGAGGAAGAAGAGGAAGAAGAGGAAGAAGAGGAAGAAGAGGAAGAAGAAGAGGAAATGAAGGGTTTGGTCGGGTAAGTGGCAAAAAAATAGGGCGGTTTTATTCTCAAATGGATGCTAATTATATATATATATATATATACATCTATCTATCTATATTCGCAAGATGAATGTTGCATTAGAAGGCGATTCGTGGTGGCACACTTGGTCTTTCTAAAAAAAGAATATAAATATATATATCCATATATATAAATTTATATATTATATATATATATAAAAATGTAGATATTATTCTATACACTACAGTATAGTATAATAAATTACTACTACTACTACTATTATTATATTTGGTAAGAAAAAGCCTCCGTCATCAGATGTTGTTTAATGTTAATACCAAAAAAAGAAAGAAAGAAAAAGGATGCATAGATATATGGTTTTCACATTTGTGTGTAGTGCGTACATACATACACACATACATAGATACATACATAGATACATACATACATACATATTGGAATATTAAATCTCATGATAAAATATATATTACAATGGCAGAGGCTTTTATTTTATATTTTAATTGGTTGGGTCTGTGTTGTCTCATGTCTTTGCATTTATTTTTTTTAATCATTCAAAGAATAAGGCTATTCTTTCTTATTAATACATAATATATAAAATATATATCTCCAGATAATTTGATCATAGTCCTAATCAACACTTGGCTTGTTGTTGGTATAATGGTGCTAAAGTATAAAAAAAAACATGTACGTATTTGTGTGCAAATGTTAGCATCGATTGAATTGAATATTTTATAGATATATATATATAGTATAGTATAGTATAGTATAATATAATACTTACAGGAAGTGATTGGGTCTCATTCTTGGTTGTGCTCCATCGCTATCAGATGAATATATAATCGAGATAAGTCAAAGTTGGCTTAAATGTTGGAAAACAATAAAGAAACAAACAAACAAACTAAATTACTTTCTTACCTTTGCTTTGGATAATCTAAGGAGAACGAGAGCAAGAACTGCCATCGCAAGCAACATAGCACTTGTGGATGGGTACCACACACCTTCATTGGCTGACTCAACCGTAGCACTGTGATCATAGTAACCAGCCGGATCCACTGGGGGAAAGAAATTTGTGTTCTTATTATTATTGCCCGGAATTCCATCGGCCAGCCTGTCAAAGCTAGACTTGTCCTCTGTACCGACGTCAGTGTCATCCATTGGTTCAAATAGATCGTTTTCAAGTATCACATCAGAATCAAAATCAGCACCAGCACCAGCGCCAGAGCCAGAACCAGCGCCAGAATCAGAGCCAGGACTCTCAAGACTTTCTCCAGATCCTTCATCAATCAACTCATCCATAAGCAACTCGGTATCCAGCTTTTCATTGTTGAATAAAGCACCATCATCCTCAAGCTCTGCTGTGCTGGTTGTACTAGAGTCCATTTCTGTTTCTGTCTCTGGGTCTGGGTCTATTGTAGAGTCTCCAAACAGTTCATCTTCTGTGCTTTCATCGGCCAGACTATCCGAGACCAACTCCTCCTCCAACAACAAGTCTTCGGCTGTTGGCAATTGTTCAAAATCCTGGTCACCTCCAGCTAGTAGTAGTTCTTCCTCTACTGGAAGTTCATTCTGTCCTTCTTCTTGAACAGGGTCCTCGGCCAAAAGTTCATCTTCATAGTCCTCACTGTCTTTTGCCTCAAAAGGTTCATAGTCTGGGTCAATTTCATTATCATTATCAGTATCCACCCCAGTGTTAGAGTCAGAGTCAGATTCAGTAAGATGATCATTCTTATCATACTCTGTGGGCAAAAGTCGGTCTTCTTGACCATAATTGTAATTGTGTTCATATGCATTCTCCGACTTCATCATCTCCCAATCGTTTTCAGTTGGGCTCTCGAGATCTTCAACATCTTTGAGATTGTCAACATCCTCGAGATCTTCATCAATAGCAGCAGGAGTAGTAGTAGTGGTGGTGGTGGCGGCCGTGGTGGTACTTTCGTCAGGTTGAGTAATACCTTCTGGCATGAGTGTGTCTTCTAACTCTTCTGCAACATCCCACTCGGAACCATCCTCCACCACCTCGCCGTCGTCATTCATTTTGTTGGTTGTGCCTTGGTTGTCCAGGGTCTGATCCAAAGTTGACCATGTGTTTTCTGACTCCTGATTGGTGGGTATGGACTTTATATTTTCTTCAACAGTGAGTGGCAAGAACCTGTCTGTGGCATCGATTTTCCCATCCCATAATCCTTCGTCTTCTAAAGATGGTACCGAGGAGGATTCTGGTTCTAATGATGATGATGATGATGATAATGCTTCTAATAATAATGACGAGGATGACGTGGATAATAATGCCGATGATAATGAGGATTCGTCTTCCTTTTCTGAAGGAATAAGCTGGTCAGGAAGACTGGCCTCAAGAATAGTGTCGTTTTCGATGATATTGTTCAGAATTTCGTCTACAGCAGGGTCTGTTGGGAGAGAGTCTGCAGCGGCAGCAAAGATATCGGCGGCTTTGTATTCATCAGTATCAGAGTCCCCAAAGATACTGTCCTCTAGACCACTTGATTGTTCTCTAGGATCGTCAAGGGTGTCTTTTGAAGTATCAGTGACCACAACAATGGTTTCGGTAGTGTCTTCTGGGAGATCTGTCGATTGAGCTTCGGCTGATGTGGCTGATTCAGGATTGACGTAGATGGCATCTCCTTCAGGGTCAACAAATGGTGGAGCAGGAGCAGCTGTGGCCAAAGTGGCAAGTGCGCTGATAAATACAAGACGAGAATGCATACGAAAGAGTGGGATGTTCTTTTATTTTGTTTTCTTTACTGTGGTTTCTATTATGTATCCCTTTGATTCACAAACAACGATATATATATATATAATTGTGTATATAATAGAAAGGACTTTTTGGAATCTTTGGGTGAGTCCAAAAAAGAAATAAGAAATAAAGAAGAAAAAAATTAGTTTTACCGTGGTTTGAATATTGTGACACGAAACTATTGGGAATTAGGAATTCTAAATTATAAATTGTAAATTAGGAAATCAAGAATTATACAAGAATTATATACACCGTAGTAGCTATACCAAGAATTGCAAGAATTCTTACCCTTTTATTACTGCTATTTACTACAATAAATTAGGTTTTTTTTGTAGAACAAACTAACCAAAGAAGTATAATGATAACAATATATAGTACTAATGGTACTATTAGTAAATTCTAATAGAAAAAGGAATAAAATAAAAATAATGACGCTTTATTTAAACCAAACAAAAGAATATTGGATTTGATTATAGTTTCTTTTGTTATTATTAACATTATTACTATTTACAATCTAAACAAAATAAATGGTTAAAATCGCCAAGACTTACTTGTTAATTTACTAAGCATTGTTTTGGTATATCTCTGTTATTTCATATTCTTCGCCATAGAGCTAGACTTTATCCATGTGGCTATGCATCTTTAAAGAGATAGATATAGAGAGATATTACAATTAGTAATAGTAGTAAAAAAAAACACTATTTAATTAGTCTCTCGCACTTTTCTCCTTTTTCTTTTAACCAATGAAAATCCAAACTTTGGACTTATTAGTGTCATTTATATATATTTAACCAATGAGTTGCTTTAAATATGACAGAGCTAAGCTGCTTTTAGGTATAAATATATATATGTACATTTCTTTGGTAACCTTTGTATCGGGTCAAAATATTGCATAAATAAATATTCTTAAAGTGAATGAATTAGTTTTCATACTTTATTTATGGTTTTTATTGTGAGTTAAAATAATATTAATAAAAAAAATATGTAAAGAAGAATAGGAAAATAGACGTACATGCATGCACACATACATATATGTAAATTTAACCTTTCTTTCTCAAGACAAGTCGAATATATTCACAACAACAAAAAAGTATATATATTTTATATATAGTGATACGTATATAATTTACAGAGATTTTCTTTAACAAAAAAGCACAGCACATGGAGTATAATAAATAATAAAGAATTAAGCAAGTAATTAAGCAAGCAAGCAAATAAAATATATGAAATAGAAAGCATGAGGGTGTAGTGTAGTGTAATGTAGTGTAGTGTAGTTTAAAGGGAGGGCATAAAATATTTCTATATCTTTCTTTATATATATATATATATATATATATATATAATGATAAGATAAATAAATAAATTGTTAAATATAATAGTGTAAAAAAAATGTAAATTCTTGAAATTTCTCTGTCTTTCTTTTTTCTTAATATGTACACATGTATAGAATTCTGAATTTTGTCTTTTGTCTTTTCTTTGTTGTTTGATCTTTATGCACTTTCGATTTGAGGCACAGGATGCGACATCGAGGTTGGTCTGTGAGGTGAGGAGGGAGGTGAGGATGTCATTTGGCGTTTGGAAATATGGCCCGGTTCAACATTAGGTTCTTCTGCAACAGGTGTCTGTGACGTCCGGCGTGATGTTATAGGTGACTCTGATGTTGGCAGATTACTACTACTGTTGTTGTCGTTGTTGTTGTTGGTGGTGATGTCATTGGTGTTATTGTTATCATTATCATTTTGATTGTAATTGTGGTTGTGGTTGTGGTTGTGGCTGTGAATATGGCTATGACTGTAACTGTAGCTGTGATTGTTTGGTCCCATAGGTGATGACGATGACGATGACGAAACGGCTGAAGAAGATGGAGGAGGCAAGACGCGATTGCTAGTCAGACTGTAGTTCACTCCACCATAAAGACCACTCGAAAGCGTCGAGTCGGTCCTTCTTCGGTTACGACCAGGTTTATTGAATCTAGCAGGTTCAAAGGTTTGCCAGACGTACTGTGAGCACTTTGATGCGTTTGGTAAATCTTGAATCATTTTTGCAATTGTATTCTTCCTCAGACCAAAAAAGTCTGGGCCAACCGGATTGTGTCCGTACTCTTGATTACGAATCGCGAAAGCGCGTCTAGAAATAAATGAATAAATAAAGAAATAAATAAATAAATAAGCATTTTAATTTAATTTCATTTAATTTCATTTAATTTATTACTTTTTACCAGTAGCTATTACTATTACTACTATTCAAAAACGAAACAGTTTTTTCTTTCTTTTATATATATATTTCTTACCTAACAATAATAGTCCACACAGTAGTCGGTGTAGGCCCTGAATAAGTCATTGGGCAGTCATCAGCAGTAACTTCAAACTAAAAGAAAATGTGAAAGATGCATTTAATTTACATTTTTACATGTATAAAAATTATCTATCTATTTTACCTTTGGTTCTCTTCCATTGTCTAGAATACAACATGTATACTGTGTATCGCTCTTTGGGTCAACCATACTACGATACCACCTAACAACAATTTCAAATCTTGTTTAGAAATGCTAGTGGTAACAACTACAATAGAAACAGAAGCACTAATTTACTTACTTGCGTACAGTGTAATTAACAGGGTAGATGTAACGTTGGTTGTGATATGCCGGTCGGTCCCACACAACGTTACCAAGGTCAACCACCGTCCATGAATCAATTTCGACAGGCAAGATGTAGTCTCCTCGATCATCACGGTCGACCTCGTAATAAGTACGAATTGTAGTACTAATCTGTTGTTGTTGTTGCTGCTGCTGCTGTTGTTGTTGTTGTTGACTGGACTCTGGACTATTTTTGCTCTCAACTGGCATAATGAGCGGGTTCTTTTTTCTCTTCTTGTTGCTAGGCGCGTAGATAACAGGAATGATGCTATTGTTGGTATTGGCATTTTTGTCATGCAAACTGATTCCTAAAGGCCGAGGTGCACCAAACTGGTGAATAGTATTGGTTTCAGAGCCTTCTTGCTGAGTCCTCAAGTAGCCTGGTGCTTTACCTCCCAAGCTTCGACGTTCATACTGCTCAGAAAGACGACGTGGGGGTGAGTGCAGATAAGCTTGGTCATTATTACTAGTATTATTATCATTATCATTATTATTATCATTATTGTTGTTGTTATTGGTGGAGGTAGTGGTGCTTGTATTAGTAGAGGCAGTAGTAGATGTAGTATTATTAGGATTATGACCAGGAATATCTGTGGTGGCAGTAATAGCAGTAGCAGAGGGAATAGTAGTAGTAGTAGTAACAGCAATATCAGTAGTAGTAACACTATTAGGGTCGGCTGATGTGATTGGGAGCGGTAAATGTATTGGTGTTCTATGTTCATGATAATGAGGACGTCTGATTTGATTGTAAAGTTCTGATTGATGCCCGTCTTCAGGTCTACGGGCCAGTAGTAGGTGTGGTAGTTCGTTGTCACCATCTCGCGGAGTATTGCCAGGTGTGCTGAGATAAGGTTTGAAGTTCTGAGGCACAGAGCCGAGGGACGGGGGCGGGGATATTCTGGCTCGGTTGTAGTTGTGTAGGGTCGGAGCACGAGAAGGGTTTGAGTGGGGAAATATAGGCTCTGGTCGACAGAGCTGTGTTGATACTGGTGCTGGTGCTGGCGCTGGTGCTGACGTGGCTGTGGCTGTGGCTGTGGCTGCTGGTGTAGCTGTGGCTGTGGCTGTGGATGTAGATGGTGTAGACTGGCCCTGTCTTGAGGGTGTAAGGTTTGATATGGATGGGAGAGGTGGCGATGGCGAGAGAGATGTAATAGGAGATTGTTGCTTTTGCTTCAGGTACCGATCGAATTCGGTGTCGCTGGTTCGTTCAAATTGGTGTTGATGTTGATGCTGGTGTTGAATAGGCCGTAATTGATGCCCATAGATACTGGTGTCTGAAGTGTAGCTGTTGCGTTTGTTACTGGGATTGAGGTTAAGATTAGGGCTGTGAGCGTGAGCATGGGGTTGAGCGTGAGATTGTGGTTGTGTGGGAGGCTGTGCGATACTGTGAAAGTGAGGGTGAGGTTGGGTGTAAGTGTGAACAGGAGATAGGCTAGGAGGGCTTGGGTGTTTGAGGGACTTCCATGGTGGAGATAATTGTTGTTGTTGTTGTTGTTGCTGTTGTTGCTGTTGTTGTTGCTGTTCAAAACCACATGAACATGGTTGAGATGGCGAGTGGGCTAGATTTGAAAAGGTATCAAAGTTTTGGGATTTGAGAGCACTGTAAAAGTCTTGTTTGGACCACTTGAGGGTTGGTTGTAATTCGATGTGTGTTACTAATGATGTGCGGTCTGCTTCAATGACTTTTCCATGAACGAATTCTTGAGCAGATTCTGGTGCCATAACCCAGGACATCAAGCCATGGCCCTCCCAGACAAAAGAGCTTGGCTGGTCTATTGGGCCAGATTCTTCATAATTGACAGTGTAGATGGACAAATCGTGATTTCTACAAATCATGTCGGGGCTTTGACAGATACAAAAAGGTAAGAAAGGTAAGAGGTAAGCCAATGAACAATATCAATATCACGTGTGTACATTCACACACATATAAATAAAATATATAGATTATTTCTAACCTTGATGAGCATATTGCCCAGACGCATTGTTTGAGTGAAACCGGAACAACTGATTCGTTTGTGATATCTGTGGCGATTTGAAATGTAGCCAGGCGTGTGGTTGAGGATCCTCTTACTGAATAGTATACTTTGACTAGATAAATATATTATATATATATACAAATATATAAATATATAATTATTTAGGTATTTATATACGTATGCAATGCACTTGTGTATTGTAGGTATTTAAATAACAACAATAGATATATTGATAATTATTGTTACCTTTGAGATTCTTAGACATTTTACACAAAATTAAATATATTGCATATATTTATATACATACATACATAAATTATAACTTATTATTATTAACTCTTAGTAATTCTTAGTAATTTTCTTAGTAATAATTGTACATAGAAAAAAAAAGAGTAAAAGAGTAAAAGAGGTATAAAAATTGGAGCAATTTTTGGTACAAATAATAATAATAATAGAGAGAGAGAGAGAGAGAGGAAGAGAGAGAGAAAGAGAAAAGAAGAAAAGAAAAGGGAAATATAAAATATATATTAAAAAAAAAAAACAAAAAAAAACTTGTTAAGCTTGGTCTTCTTACTCGTAATAATATTCTTATTTTCTCTTTACTATTTGAATATATAGGCACAAAGTAGGTCAATGTGTTTCAATACTAAACTCCCCAGTGATCTGTATTTGGTTACCTTGGTGATTTGAATTTATCTTCCCCTTTATTTGCTTTCTAGTCATATTTCTACCCCGAAGGTATCATCAATGGGTCCGAGTATTTTCGGGAAAGATAGATATTTTTTGTATATATAAAAAGGTTTAAACTCTAATAAGAAACATATGTCTTACAAGAAATATGTACACACACACACACACACATGCATACATACATATATACATATATACATATATACATATATACATACATATATTATAATGTATTATAATATTATATATATATATAAATCAAGTCATCTGGCTATTTGCAAAAAACACACACACACACACACACATATAAATATATGTAAATGTAATAGTACAATAATTGTCCTCAAAATATCAACTGAGAAATTGAAACAAAATAAATAAAGAAAGCACTGTAAATGCATATATGTATATATGTATGTATGTATATATTAATAATTCTGTTCAAACACATTTTTACACGTTTACACATTTACACATTTATACATTTACATGGTAATTGCATTGGATCTACCATCTAAATAAGGAAAGTATATGTTTCCACAGTACATATACATACAAAATACATACAAAATACCACTGATAAACATTTCAAAAAAAAACTTTTTATATATTTGGTTTCCATGTCACACATTTGGCCAATGAAGAAGAGGAGTAGAATATTGGTGGTGATAGTAATTATGCGTGTATGTCTGGGGGAGGAGAAGAAAGAAAGGAAGAAATACGGAAAAATAAGAAGAAGAAAAAAAAAGGGGGGAGTGGAAGGGAAGGGAAAAAAAGGGAAGAGAGATTGGGGGGGGGGGGGGACAAAAAAAAGTGAAAGAAAGAAAATTGTTTAAAGAAGTTTTGGGGATTACTATTACTTTACCATACTACACGTGACAGCAAGAGCCTATGGGCCAAAAGTATAATTATATAATTATATATAAAATATTGCAAGTATTTAAGATTAAAATCCTTTTGATTTTATTTATTTATTTAATGTGAACAAGGTTTGGCTCAACCTGACTTGACTTGACTTTGTTTGGTTTGGTTTGGTTTGTACAATTTGGTAGGCATTATCTTTGACTTTTTGAACTTTGTAGAATAGAAATATTTGTGATCAAATTCAAAAGGCCTAGGTTTGTATATAATTATTGCTTTTCTTTTCTATCTTTATTTATTTATTTATTTATTCACGCGCATGAAATACACTTTTATTTTATATTATTAGTATATATAATTTAGTATCCAAATAACTGGACCTCACTTAAAAATGTCTAATGATGTGTAACATTCAATATTGGTACAATTCTTCTTCTGTTTGGTACAAATAAGCAACATTTGTATAAAAGTGGGTATATATATTTTCTTTTGATGGAGTGGTCATAATCTGTGTGTTCTTGAGTCTATAAGGATTTATTGTATTATATATTGTCAAGTGTGTGGGACAACATGTAGCAACTAATGTAAGTAGTAAGTAGTAGCTATGGAAACATATATACATACATATGTATATATAAAAGTAAAATCTATATTAGGAAAGCAAGTCACACAAACTGATTTTTTTTTATAAAACAAAAAAAAATTATATAGAATCCTTCTACCCCGCTCCCAAATGACTGGAGAAAATTATTCATTTGTTCAATAGTAATCAGATTTTTACTGATTATGGAACAAGAAGCGCTGTGTAGATGCTGATTGTGTAAAGTGTACAAAGGTGGAGTTGAAGACCAAAAAAAAAAAAAAAAAAACGGGTTAGATAGTCCGTGCGAACAATAACTGAAAAAATATACATGTGTGTGTGTATCACACGTTGCACTAATGGTATATTTAATGCCTCTTCCTATTCTTCCTCTTAGTATTGCTTTACGATCTTATTGGAATGCCAAGCAGAACAAGAGAAAATAAAGACATGACAATATTATAGTATATATTGATAAAAGCGCAAAACCGCAAACTTAAATCTAGATGATACAATAGGATGTTCAAATTAGACTTCTTTTATTCGAATAATAAAATATATATATATGATGATGAGCATCAATCATTTTATTACTATTTTCATTTATTTAATTGCTTATGCTTAGCAGAATATTTAACATCAATATGAGAGTTATTAGCTACAAATATCACTAAACACCGAAAGAAAGTTATTCAACAAGTCAACCCTTACTTTCTAGGCAAGATTAGCGTATAAAATATTAATATACATATACATACATGTTCTATTCTATCTAACAATCTGGACCTTTATACACACACATGTATATACTGTGTTGGAGAAAGATAGAGCTAAAGAAATAGAGACAAAGTGTGTAGGTGGGTCTCTAAATTTTGATCCAATTATATATGTATATATATATATATAAATAGCGTCTGCATTTCCTCAGGCATTTTGCAAATAATCCTTCTGGTCCAAAAAAATTCTAATTCATACATGGTTGACCGTTTGAAAGAGAAGTTTGCCAAAAATACATTGATCTGTAGCCGAAGCTCGGCAAAAACTCCATTAGGAAATTCATTCAATTCAATTCAATTCAATAACTTTTATGTATCAATCTACAAAGTCTATAAAGCATCATATTTTTTCTTTACTACCAAGCAAGTGGGCAAGTAAGCAAGTGAGCAATATAGATATAATTATATGCCCGGGCTTTTTCTTTCTCTTTCTTTGTGTGTGGAATTGTGTCTAATTAAATTTCTTGTCTAGAACCAGGGGGTGAAAAATAAAGGAAATACCATGTGTGGGCTATCTTATGAAATGAATTGTAGGGATGATAAAAAAAATCCCTTTCATTATATATATACATATGTAACCACCCCTATTAAGACTAAGAATAACAAAGTAGTGTGATGTTATGCTACTCTATCTACATATCTATCTATATATCCCTCTACCCCTCCGTATAACACACCTACACATAAATAGCAGATAAAATATGTAATACAAATAGCAAATAGCAAATAGCAAATACTTCTTCCGTTTTGTTTAGGGTCTGTTCAATTAAGGAATACAGCACCCAAGAATAAAGACGATCTTCATAAACCAAAAAAGAAAAAGAAAAAAGAATAAGCTCTACACAGAACCAGATCGAAATTTTAAGAAACTTGATAAGATTATAATCGAGAGAATAATGTGAATAGTTTCCATGACGACATTGTAAGGGTGTGTCAATTAGCTTCTTAATTTTTTTTAAAAATAATAATAATAATAATAATCAAAGGGGTGGAAGGAAGGACATGAAGGAGTGTGCAAAGATTTCCTCCTGCATTAGACTCTCTTACTTACTCACACTTACGGATACAAGTAGAATATAAATAAAGAGTCCTTTTTACTATGATTATTCTGAATAGATCCATTTAAGCCAAATTCTTTTCGTTGGATAGTTAGCAAGTTGGTAAACTAATTTGCTAATTAAGTTTCTATACATATATATATATATATATCTTGTGGGTGTAGATAAATAGCTACAAATACTCTACATCCTTCTTCTTCTTCGTTTTCTTACTCTTCTTTACTTATCTTCCAGACTACTTTACAGCCGCCATGAAATTCTACTTGTTCCTACTCTCGGTCCTACTTTTGACCATCTTTGGTACCCAAGTCTGTATTGCCGAAGATCCTGCTCTTCTAGAAGGGTAAGATTTCTTTTTCTCTCTTTTTTCTTTTGGTGGTGAAATGACAACATCTTTATCATAATTAATTAAGTAAATAAATAAATAAATCTCTATCTCTTTCTTTTTGTTAATCCATTGTTCCGCGCATGTTCTTTTGTGCCACCTTACACCAATAGACAAGGAACCATTGCCGACGATATAAAAAAGTTCGAAAGCCGTCCTTCCCTCATTGATCGTCTGGCCCTTGAAAGAGAGCAGCGCCAACAGAAAGCACAAGAACAACCCCAAAAAAGACGTCGATTCGCAAAGAGAGTCCCCGCGGTTCAAGGTCTCAAAAGACAATAATCATACAGTAATTCTAGTGGTCGCATTGGTTGGTGGGATCAGTTCTTTGGTAGAGGTAATGATAGTGGTGGTCGTACTCTTGTGCACTTCCACTCTCAGTACATTTTCAACCCCATGCTCCTATCCCTATCCTATCGTGCTTTTTTTTTGCCCTGCCATGCCATGTCATAAATATCAAGACCAATCTTTTCTGTCTTTCCTTATTTGGGAAAAGAAATTGAGTATTCAAAAAAAAAAGATGAATAATGAATTTGTAAGCTCTCATGAGTTTGTTTGTTAATAAAGATCGTTGTACATAAAAAAAATAATGTACATTTCTTATATATATATATAAAGACACCAATAGTTATATTTAGTGTGTATGCATATGTGTATATAATGCATATTTTTATCAGCGATAAATATATATATATAAAAGTATCACAGCCTGATAATCTAAAGAGGTAGTTTAGTACTCATACAATTTTATGTGAAACACTTGTTATATATTTTTGTGTACACCGTCAAACTTCTTGTTCCAAAAATGTGGTGCTGTTTAGTAAACATTTTTTTTTAAAATGATAATAATAATAGGCAGTTTTTGGATTTCAAGTGGTGAGACCGTAAGCTTCTTGGACATAAGTGGGAAAAAAGCACAAGAAGAAGAAGAAGAAGTAAAAAAAAAAAAAAAGGGGGAGAAATCTTGAGGGAATACAGATAATTTTAGAAGAATGGTAGGAAAGTTAAGAGGTAAATAAATTAGTATGAGTACACACCATATATTCCTTGTATTCAAAAGATGTACAGGGTTATTGTTGTTCTTTCTTTTTCTATCGATCTATATTTGAAGTTGAAGTTGACGGGATGGGAAGTTGGGTGGGCTCAAAAAGGTATGTAGTCCAAGGTACTGGATCAGAATATAAATCACTGTATTTTTATTTATTTATTTATTTATTTATTTATTACTCTCTTAAGACGTAATATATTAACAGAAATTAATGGTACAAGAAATAAAGGAAGATTTGAACAGAAATAATAATAAAATATGATATGATAGGATAGGGATGTCTTTAAGATTTCTATTTTATTTTATTAGCCTATAAAATACATGTAAAATTCGTGTACCAAAAAAAAATTATTATTACGCCTTTAAATATTAAGCCGGTTGAAATGTTGTGATAACCCACAAAAAGTCATTTTATGATTATGAAATCTCTGTCAAGTCTATGGTTGAGTCCAAGTACCAAGGTAAAATTAGGAAATGAATTTGAAGAGTAAACTACGCACATTTCTTTCCTTCTTTTTTTTCTAGATCTCATCAATATCGGTCTACTGGGTTAAATTGCCCGGGAGATATGCTTGTACAACCTACCAGGAAATTAAGCCATTAAATCTTCTTTCTTTCTTTCTAAGCGTTCTATGGAGTTATAAAGGCGAAATCTGTAGCAATTTTTTATACGTGAAGTTTGTTTCAATTTCATTAGATTTTCTTTCATAGCACTAGCAGCAGAAAATGTGAAGCAGTGTTATCGGAATATAGGATGTCTTTCTTTTTTTATTGAGTAATTGTTAAGTATTCCCGCGCCACTTCTTTTGTGTAAATATGTTTCAATATTCTTTTGACACAGTTTGGCTCTTTAGGATGTGTGTTTAAAAAAAAACAAATATATATATATTTACATAATATTTTATACAAACTTCTATTTCTATTGGTTATTAAAAAGGAGTTTATATTTCACTGTCAGGGTAACAAGTCTTTTTTTTTTTTCTTCTTTGTCACATTAGTTAAACAAAGCCTACATATTATACAAGTTAATTTGACACAATATACTTGACTATGTATAGATATGAAATAAGAGACACATAGAAGATGTGTAGATAGTGAATTGTGAGTGGTTTGAGTAATTTGTGTATTTGTGCTTGTAGATACTTCTCACACTGGCTTTTAAACCAAAATATGGTTTTTTTTTATATAAAAAAAATGGAAGAAAAATGTGCACTTTATAAGAACACATATTGGCTTAAAAAAAAAGGATCATTTTTGTGTGTGTATGTGTGTATTTATGTGGAGCCAATTATTAAGGATTGTCAAACTTGCCACAAACAGACTTTGGTTGACGTACACAGTTGTCCTTCAAAAGAATTAAACCAAAAATAAAAAAAAATTAAAAAAAATGACCTAGATACGCTATGGGTCAATATTTGTTTATCTTCACTTTTATATACATAAATAAAGAAGAGCTATAGGTATATTAGTAGTTATAGCAGGAGGAATAACTAGTCAAAAATGATTCAGTGAACCTGTTTGTATGAGTACATGTGTCTGTGTACATTATAGACGAACCAAGTTCTTTAAATCCAAATGGTTCTCTCATACACCTAAACCATTTCACCAGAGAAATCACACAAATGATATATAAAATGATATTGTTACACTATCTCAATTTCTGCTCTATTTTGTACCAAAATTTTCAAGACATGAGGACACTGTTATCGCCTACATCATTAGCCACTGTGCAGTGCAAGATATTTGGACTAAAATTTATCGAAACACAAATATGTTGTGTACTGCAGTAAACCAAAACGAATAAATATCATCGAGAATTGAGAGGCATAAAGTAATCAGATTGACGTCTCATTGTTTGTTTGTTGTACTAACACACATATCTTTTGCTGGTTACTCGCTGTAAATCACCTTCCCCCAATAAAGACGAGAGAAATAAAAAGAAGAAATAGTACGGATGAGCACGGAAGACGTGCCTTTATGCTAAACAGTTATCTAATCATCTTTTATACCTTTTAGCTTACAAGTCATATAATTTCTGCTTTGTCTTGCTTTTCCTCGCTTTGTTCTTAAAGTCTAGTAGATTTAGAACAAGTAAAAAGGAGATTTTTTCTGATTTGTCCTGGGTAATTAGTTAACGGTGTAATAAACGGTTGGACAAGATTGTTAACTGTCTCTTGGCAAAAATAAATAAAATAAAAGATTATTTTAAACAAAAAATACACTATCTCTCTTTCTATCTCTTTCTATCTCTCTGTGTGTTTGTATTGAGCAGAATTCACAACATGACATATCCATGTTTAGGATTCTGTAAGACTAAATACATCTGTGTTCATTGGTGCTTAAAAGGATGTAACAGTTTTGGTGAACTAATTACACCCCCATGACATGTATATAACGGATATAGATATTGAAGGCAGTCGATATTAGTGTATAATCATTATGTAGTATATATTCCTATATTGTTCCTATATTGTTCCTATATTGCGATTATTTCGATTATTGCGATTATATGTGTTTGTGATCATTTATACCACTGACACAGTACTACATTATACCTGCCAAACTGACTGTCTGACTGTCTGAATGTCTTTCTGTCTGTCTGTCTACCTGCAGCACCAGTACATTTGTCCAAAGTAAGATAGGCTCCCTTTTTTTCCTTGTGCATTTCTCTCAATGTAATACAAGGTTTCCGGGATATTTTATATAGAAACATACACATAAAAGTATATACAAGAAAAAAAAAGGCTTCACTACCCCCCATAAATATGTTGATTGAACTATATATATATATACTTGTAATAGGCTTGGTGAAACAAATAACCGGTTTTACACCATAAATAGACAAGGGGTTTTTATATATTGATAATTGTCTTTTATAAAAGATGTCGTTTCTTTCTTACAATGGTGCGCAAGACTAGCTTGTATCACAATATTCTACCATAAACCCTTTTTGTATATAATAAAGAGAGAAATGGCCTTATCATTATATTTTTGTTTATTGCGCATATGATTTAGTATAAAGAAATAGGTATGAGTCAATTCAGGCCGTGAAATTTTAACCTGTTCTGATTACGACAACAAGAACAAATATCATATGTGTAGACAAAGATGCCCAACGTTAAGAAATGGAATATCAGTATTTTATTGTATAGATTGAATTCCTTTTTTTCCTGATATATATATACGTTTAATAAAAGCAATTACCACAAATGCAAATACAAATACATATTTCTTCTCAAACCAAATAATGTATGTATAAATGAATGGGCAAGTGGCTTCAAAAGTGAATATGTAGCATATACCAAAAAGGAGAAGAAGAAGAAGAAGAAGAGGTGATATGCATGTTTCTTTAACTCATCAATGGCTGAATGGTTCATAATATATACAGAAATATCGAATGCAAAACAACAAACAAAAAAGACAAATAAGAAGAAACAGTGTTCTTTCGTCGTCTATCATGTGAATAAAAAGAGAGTAATTTGTGGTGATTTTAGGTGATTTTAGGTGACCTTGAGAATCAACTCACAGATCTTCTTGATTAGGCAGCCTCTCCATGGGTATTGGCACGCAAAAGAATAGTAACTGAGAAATGCAGTGACTCTACGTGAAAATGGGTAAAAGTAAATGCTACCTCAAATGCCTTGCTCTTTTTTTTTTGTAAAATAAAATAAAATAAAAATATATCAATAGAGAATACAAGATGTACCTGTTCTTCATTTTTATCCCAAATGTGTTTCAAGTAGTTCCTTGCTTTTTGGTTAACAGTCAAGATTAGTATGTCATAGACGCTCATCCAAAAAAAGAAAGATACACATTTTGCACACATATGTGTTAATTTATTATTGACTCCTGAAACTAGGAGCTATTGCTATTAGAGTTACCTTTGAACAAAAAACAAAAAACAAAATAGATAATAAGAATACTCTAGTAAATCTTTACACACATTTATCCCCCTTTTACTTTAAGAAAACGTAACAGAGAAAAAAAAAGATCTATTCTACCAACAACACATCAAAGTCTACGTCTAAACATATATTTGCTACATTAGAATTCTCAAATAACATTTAGAGAATCTCCTTTTGTGACATAGTATCATACCACAAGAAATACATATAATTATATTATATAGTTTGTATGTAGATTACTAAATGAATAAAACGTTAAGTCAAGTAACACTACTCTTAAAAGCAACATCGTCATTTATTTACTTAATTTATAATAAAAGATTCTTTCCCCCCTCAAGAAAAGGAAAGAAAGAGAAACCTTTGCCAAAAATGAAATCATGATTATGTTGATTTTTAATATCTTGATACATATACATGTACATGGACATGTGCGTGTTTATATATAGTTTGACGGATTTAATATCAATTCATACGTTTGTATATACCAAAAAGTCATATTTGTCAAAGACCCGGTATTTGGGCTTGTAAGTACAAATACCAAACATTAATGTATAGCCCAGTTTCATTTTTCCCTTGTTTGTGTGCGCGTGTATTTTGTGCATGTTCACTCTAAACTCACTCCAAATCTACCCGAAACAGGATACTACATTA